CGATTTGGGAGTCGGCGACAACTTACCTGGTCTGGTACTTACCGCCCGGGATCCGCTGCAGTACATGCAAGGGAACCTTACGAGTGAAGATAAAATGCAATAAAATGCCAATAAAATGCCCAAGTAATGGAATCAGAGCTACTTATATGGTTGCCGTTGGGGAAGCTTATTGCCAAGCCTCGCTCAGTACCCCTGGTCGCGCTTCTCCGAGTTCACCGAAGCCAGGGCTTTTGCTTACTTCCGAAGGGAGGGGCCCGTTTTGAAACGTGGTCTTTGCTCCTAACAACCTCCTGCCAGTGACTTGTTCGCCTTTGCAGCGTTTAAGACTATGACCGACATTGGCGTCGAGTGCAGAAGTCACACATCTCCACGAAGAAAGTGAGACGCGAGAGAGTGCTTCGGGAACGGAATGCTGGAAAGCTTTGTGATTTGACGAGTTGAGTCTCCCTATCAATCGACTGCGATTTATTTGAACGTGAGGGCAGAACCATGTGGCGCCTGTTCATTGTTCCGCCTTAGGTCTCGGTAATGCAAAAACTCGATCGTGTCAGTCCATCGGGCTATGTTGAAGGTGGGATATAAAGGGAGAAACTTTGAAATCGACTCGTTTTTGTCTGACATCCTCATTCGATATGCCGGCCGTTCCCGTACCCGTCATCGTCATATGTATCTTAGGTGGATGGGTGAGTCGCTGCAAAACATGGTGGCACGCCACAATTCTAATTCGTGTTGCAGAACTTCGGCATAGCCGCGGACCTCCTACTCCAGGGCATTGTGTTCGCACAAATCTCGCACTACATCGCACTGTACAAAAAGGACATCCTAGCCTTGCGCGCGTTCGTCTGGGGCCTTCTGTTCCTGACCACGCTGAAGACGGCACAAATACTGTCAGTTCACCTCCGCCCCTGCGCATTTATTTCTCTGACGACGTTCCTTGGCTGCAGAACCATCATGTGGACTCAAAATGTGGTGAACTTCACGGACATCGGCGCTGCGACCGCAATGTTTTACACCTTCTGGGCCTCGAAGGCGACCCTCATTCTCGTCGGGCTCATTGCATTCTACGTTCAGTTGTTTTTCTGCCAGCGTCTTTGGGTAACGCTCTCCCCACCGCCTCGTTCCAATTGCTAAAACCGATCCAGGCGCTATCGAAGAATGTGTATCTTGTCGCTCTGCTCATTGCCCTCTTTGTCTTTGGGCTGGTGGCCGCCATCGTAAAGGTATGTCTCTGAATTCAGGGCGCGGAAAATGCTGACATTTTTCCAGTCCACGTTCACAGGTACGCAGAGTCCTCTCGGCGATCCGTGGCGTAAGTCCCCGTGTGCACCGTTCGTCCTATTTTTGACTCCGTGTTTTTTCAGTCGCAGCGCATCTCTCGACTGTCTTGGCTGGAGATATGCTTCTGTGCGGAGGCACCACGTTTTACTTACTCGTCCCCCGCGCTATATGCTACCTCTGACGACCAATTTTCCTGGGCAGAAACTGTCGAAGGGAGCTCTGCCGCAAACATCGAGTATGCTGGACAGCTTCCTAAGATTACCTTCCAGGTACGTGCTTCTTTACCTCGTTAGCTCCCCTGTTCTGACACCCCCACCACCCCCCCCCCCCAGTCCGCAGCTCCAGCAGCCATCTGCGCGCTCCTCAACCTCCTCGGCTCACAGTCCGGCAAAACCACCTCCCAGTCGGCGTCCATTGCCGAAGCTGTACGCGATCTCCGCAATGTGGACGCTCAACTCGCGCAACGCGATCCGGCTCGCACGCGAGCAGGGGCAGACCACGAGCAGCAACGAAGCGCCGAGCGGGCGGCGGCGTACGAACAACATCGAGCTCGGCGGGCTGTCGCACCACGGCATCGTTCCGATCCAGTGCGCACACATGTGCAGACGATGCAGCAGTCGGACACGGATATGTTCTCGCCCAAGACGCACATGGACGATCTGAGCGAGCGGGACGATCAGGAGTCGAAGAATTAGAGTGGACATCTTTGGAAAGAACCATTCTTTAGAGACAGTGGACGCGCCGCATCGACAATTCCAGGACTTCTTTACGTGTACATGTACATTGTACGATTCTTCAGGCCTGAAAAACATCTGTAAAACTAAATGGTTGTCTTTTCCCAAAGACGCGCGTCTTTGGCTAAGATATGCTCGAATTTTAAGTAACTTTAGAATATGACAATTTTTCGGGTATTTTTCACGCGTGTCTACACGACCGGGTCAGCCTCTGCTCGCCATCTCTCCCTACGTTCCGCCCCAGCTCGCCGCCCAGACAACCCCAAGCCTCGACGCCTGGCCCTAAGTCTCCGCGTCACCCGGTCACCCGCTCAGAGCCCTCAATTTAGGGCACGCGTCATCCATGACGCCGACGACGCCGACATCGGTTCCGTATCGCGCGGCCGGAGGAGTTGCGCATGTGGCCCGCATTCCAATGCACGCGCCCACACCCACGGTGGAGCAAAATTTCTTGAAATTTCCTTTTTCGGCGAACGGTACTGGGAGGGCCAGGCGCATACGCATACGCTGGCACGCAAAGTCAGAGTCGGAGGGGAGAGCGGGGGAGAGGGGTGCTGAGGGAGGGGGAGGTATGCACGTACGAGCGAGGGGTGGGGTGGGGCGGGGCTTGTGTCGACCGTGGCTCATTGAGAAAGCGCGAAGTGGGGGGCACAGAGAGGGAAGAGGAAGCAACACTGGGGGGAGTGCCAGGCGCACGCTGAGACGCATGTACAATCGGGGGGAGCGGGGTAGCGGCGGTGAGAGGGTGGTATGTACGAGCGGGGGCATGGTGGAGCCGGGGCTTGTGTGGAGCGGCCCATTGAGAACGCGCGAAGTGGGAGGTACCGAGAGGGGGAGAGACGGTGGAATGTGGCGCTGGAGACTGCAGTGGAGTGAGTGAGGAGCATCCACGAGCCTCGAGCGTGCACGCGGGGCGTATGGTCCGTGCTCGCCGAGGGATACAAGCTACACGATGCCGTCTCCTGCACGAGCAGGGTGTACGTGCGCTGCTGGGCCCGATGGAGGGGAAGATGCGCGAAGCGGTGGAGCCCTCGCTCTTGCCCCAAATCCACTATCGACATCGACATTCGGCAGCCCCATCCCTGCCCCTCTCCGCCCCGCCCGCCCCTCACAGCCTTCTCACATTCGCATGCGCATCCGCCTTCGCAACGACGCGATGCGTACACTCCGCCGCGGCGCACTTGAGCGGACAGCGGTGCGGCGCCTCGTCCGCAACCGGGTGCGGGTGTGGATGTGGGTCCGCGTCACCGAGCGGGGAGAGCTGGGACGGGGACTGCACGAGCTGCGCGTCTGGGGCGAATCGCGTTCTAAACTGCGCTTCTTGGGAGAACCGCATAGGGCCTGACGTGGTCTGTGGGGAGAAGGCAGGCGGCGGTGGAGAGGACGCCGGGACAGTAGAGGACGCTGGGACAGCAGAGGAAGGTGGCGGCGGCGGCGGCGGGACCGCAGAGGACGAGTCGCGGTGCCCCGTGTGCACGGTCGTGCTCAGCGCGGTGGAGTCACGGCGCATCGGGGTCGACGTGCCCTGTGGGGAGAAGGCGGGCGCTGGCGGTGATGGGACAGCAGATGGCGGCGGGACTGCAGACGACGAGCGGTGCCCCGTATGCGCGGTCGTGCTCAGCGGGGTGGAATCGCGGCGCAGTGGCGGGCGCTCCGTGAACTCGAGCGACAGCTCGGAGAGGAGGTCCTGGTCCCCCGAGGAGGCGGGAGCGGGGGAGGACGGCGAGGCGAGCTCTGTGGACGAGTGTCCCGTGTGGACGGCCGTGCTGAGGGCGCCCATGACGGAGTCGTGCCTGCGCGGCGGGTCCCCGCGAAAGAGCGCGGGTTCCGAGTCGGAGGGTAAGCCTGGGTCAGTGGAGAGCGCTGGGGAGCGCGCGCCTGGGGAGGAGAAGGCGGAAGCTTCAGCCTCAGCGTGATATGCGTCGGGCGCAGACCCAGAGTACGGTACACACGGGGTGTGGCCGATGTTAACGGTGGTGCTTTCCATCGTTCCCTGCCTCGTTGACGGCGGGGAAACGGACACGGCGGAGAAAGCCACCGAGGGTAGGGAGGGCCGAGATACGGGTTCGGACGAAGCTTTCGAATGAATGAGGTCAGCATTTATTTGGTAGTACAGCGCGAGGAGAAACGCACGGAGGTACGCCTTCACTGTGGCAAGAGTAGTGTGCGCATGCGCGCTTGCGATGCGTGTCTCTTCCTTGGGCTGCTTTTGCTGCTCCACATGCGCGTGTGTGGGCTCCGCCTCTGAGATGTACGTAGAGTCCTGTTTGGACTCGAGGTGACTGGGGAGCGAACCAGGAACAGTAGGACCGGGGGTAAGTGTAACGTGTGCACTGATAAGGTCGTTCATGCTATCGGCCCACTCGCTCGCTGGGGTTTGCGGGAGCGCGCTCAAAGAGATCGTCGGGACCAAGTTCGGTGGAGACGCGTGCATTTTATATCCCGGGTTTGGGGGCCAATAGTTCCTGCGCGTAGAAACTTAGACTTCCGGCGAATGGGAATCAGAGCAAGGTAAAAGCAAAGCAAATGAGATGACTTTCAAATCCAAGTCGATTGGCAAGGTTTTGTGGTCACAAAGGAAGACGATAATCCAGGTGGTATTCAGCCTCATCTTGACGAGTAAATGAGCTCCATAAACGTGCACTTGACCAGTGGAGTGGAAACATTATTGGGCCCGAGAGCGTCATGTCTGGCGATAACAGAAAGCGGGAGGCCGCAGGTAAACAGACGCAACCATGAGATTGATGGCATCACCAGCGCTTCCTCCTCCCAACTCTCACCTCCTCACACTCGGAGTCGATACGTCAAAATCCAGGCCCAAGGCCACGGCAACGACCTTTTAATTTCTGTCAACTGTCTCCGCAAGGGTTTTGGCCACATATGTACTTGGCTAACTTCTAAGGCAATTGCAGAGCCTTTTTGCCACTCAGGCTGGCACCTCGATCTCAATTTTGCCCACATACAAAGGTACCAAAGCAAGAGTGTTATTCGGACGTGGTGCACGGCGCACACCCGCTTCGCGTGCTCATTGTTGCAAACTGCTAAAGATAGTGATGCGGGAAGCCTGGGTTCGACTCCCAGCGTCCGAATGGGCCATAGATTTGTACTTTTCTTTTTTTTTGGAAACCAACGCCTGATGCCGCAGCTTTGCGCAATGTATTCAACCACCTATTATTCTACTCACTTACATCCACCTCACATTAATGTGCTCATGCTCAGACGCCTCCGCACCTTGGGGTGTTCAGCTTCAACTCTCACGGGATTCCGAACTGTGTTCACTCACTCAGCCCAGTGCAGAACGAAGAAAGTAACTCGGATGTGGTGTACGGCGCACACCCGCTTGTGCCAATTCCTGAATCTGGCAAAGATAGTGATGCGGGGAGCCTGGGTTCGATTCCCAGCCTCCGAATGGACGGCAGTCTCAAGAGTTTCTTTTCTTTTTATCTTCCTGAAAACAGCGCCCGATAGCGATACCGCGGCTCTGCGCATTTAATTTAACACCTATCCTATTCTTTCACATCACCCCCTCTCATAATGCACCCCAC